GATCTTGGAGGGAATGATGTTCCAAAGACCTGGAGCCATGGCCCTCCTTCTGGGACCCACCACCTGACACTCCTTAGCCGACAGGACCCAGAGCATGTTCCTCCTGTCAGACCAGGTAGGATGAGTAGACAATTGGGGAGCGACAGTCCTGTAAGCCATGAAGGGCTTTAAAGGGTTTTTGAATTGCACCCAGAAGCACACTGGAAGCCAATGCAGCTCGCAAAGCAGTGGTGTCACATACGCCACATAACCGATGCCATTAACTGCTTACGCCGTGTATTCTGCACCAGCTGAAGCTTCCAAATGCTCTTCAAGGACAGCCCCACGTAGAGTGCATTGCAATAGTCCAATCTGGAGATCACCAGGACATGAGTAACCGTGAGCAGGCCCCCTGCTCCAGCAACTGGCACAGCTGATGCACAACCTAAAGGTGTGCAAATGCCATTCTAGCCATGGCTGCCACCTGCCTCAAGCAGGAGCCATGAATGCAGGAGGACCCCCAGATTAGACACTTGATCTGTCTGGGGCAATGCTATCCATCCAGAACAAAAGAAGGAAGGTCCCCAGAACCAGGAGGTCCAAAATGCAGAGCCACTCAGTCTTGCTTAGATTGGGCCTGTTCCTCTCCACCCAGAACCCCGCAGCCTCTAGGCACTGAGACAGAACCTCCATGCCCTGCAGCTTTCCACGGGGTGTCCTGGATTCCCCACCTACTTTTTAAATGCGCCCACCCCCCAAGGTACCACTGAGTGACTTAGTGCAACCCTTGACCCAGAGAAAGTTGGCAGTCCTGGGCCAAAAAGAGGACCAACTCTGATCAGAATGTATGCCGTAGCTAACCAACCTAGTATGGCTTATGCCAGCCAGAATCACATCACTGACAAGGAAAATGTTCTTGCTTAGTTCGTACATATCAAATTAAGCAGTTCCTTATTTACAGATAGAATATCTGTATTCTTATGTATGAGAGCGAGGGAACCTGCCAGAAGAGGTACACAACTGTGAGGCAGATAGTTCAGGTCCCCTCTGCACATGTGGCAAAAGGAGGGGTTTTGGTGAAATACTGTATACATCAGAAAACTACAGGACAAATTCAAATACCTCCCCTCATCATAGGCACTGATAAGTATTCCAGGAAAGTATCATTTGAATGCATCACATTTTGCATGTAAGTATTGCATACTCATGGGATATCACGTTTCAAGAAAATATATGCATACAATCTGGACCAATCAATCTAGCAAGACAAATGGCCAAGTCTTGAATCATTTGGGGCCTTGCATCTATTAATCTGAATGACCCTGGGTCCAATTTCTTTCCCTAGAATCGGTTTGCTGATTAGGAATCAAAAGCAGTCAGGTCACTGCAACAGAGATGAGAGGAAGAGATGGAAGAGATTCAAGAAATTGGACCAGATTTTGCATATGCTTGTATGCATTCATAGCTTTTAGAATCTCAAAAGTATTTTTCCATGAGCTCAGTGTTCATTCTTATAAGCACACCCATATTATGGAATGGCTAGAACTCTATTTTAAAAATGTCTTGTCCAGCGCATCCTGGGAATCTGGCACACACATTAATTTATAAAGAGCTGGCCAAGCCTTTTCAACTATACTGTATCTCATTTGCTCTCTGTTCTTGGGAAGTAAATTAAAATCATGCAAAATCTATTTTGTAGCTAGTACAAATTATTGTAATGAAAGTGTTTCTTCTTTGTGATCTTCACAATGGATCTTCACATTGTCTTGTATCGAAGAGCAACATTTCATTTTTATATCAAAACCTGTATTCTGTACAGCACAAATCCAAGTACACAGCAAAGAAAGTTGTTTGCTGTTTGCCAATTAACACTAACTCATGTCAACTATATATGCATGCAATATATATGAACTATAAATGCATGCACAGTACTGTGCAAAAGTTTTAGGCAGGTGTGAAAAAATGCTGTAAAGTAAGAATGTTTTCAAAAATATATATTGTAATTGTTTATGTTTATCACTTTACAAACTGAAAAGGGAGCGAACAGAAGAGAAATCCAAATCAAATCAATATTTGGCGTGACCACCCTTTGCCTTCAAAACAGCATCAATTCTTCTAGGTACACTTGCACACAGTTTTTGAAGGAACTCACCAGGTAGGTTGTTCCAAACATCTTGGAGAACTAACCACACATCTCTGTGGATGTAGGCTGCCTCAAATCCTTCTGTCTCTTCATGTAATCCCAGACTCGGTGATGTTGAGATCAGGGCTCTGTGGAGGGCAAATCATCACTTCCAGGACTCCTTGTTCTTCTTTACACTGAAGATAGTTCTTAATTGCATTGGCTGTATGTTTGGGGTCATTGTCCTGCTGCAGAATAAATTTGGGGCCAATCACACA